ATAAGCTTGCTAAAGAAAACCTTTTGTTTTCCCTTGCAGATAAAACTGATTATAGTTGATTCAATATCATTTGCAATTCGTATGGTAAATAACGTCTCCGATCGGACAGAACTCCTGATGGAAGTACACGATGGTATGCGTCAACTTCAGCGGATGCACGATGTGGCCGTAAGTGCTAATATTCCAGCCAGTGTTGCCAATTCAGCTATTTTCTAGCTGAATTTGTCTATTTTCAAAAGGTCAGCCAAAAGAGTCTTCTTTTAAATGATTTGCCAACTTTTAAGGAATTATGATTATTGGCAATATGTGATCTAAGTTAACAATTATTAAGATTAGATTCGGCTTTTTTATTTTTGAAGTGACAGCTGGCAACACTGATGCCGATCTTCATATCATAAATATGATAACTGCTTACTTCTTCGCAGTTCGTCCTAACTAACAATCAAGGATATCGACGGCGAATAAGTCGGTTTCAATTACAGGCCGTCCTAGGTCAAAAGCATTCGCATTTTATAAATAAACGCATCTGGCTTACAGAAAACGAATGTTTTGTAGGTAAAACGGCGAAAACAAAAAGATTAATTTGCAAATTATTTAAATACACGTAATAATCGGATGTTTTTTTCTAATAAAAAGTTTAATCGCATACTATTGTGAGGTACATGAATTTTGTTTATTTTAATTATTTAAAAATGTAACTACACGATTATTTGAATTCGCTCGCGAATTTGTGCATCAAACGAAAAAATACAGCATTTTAGTATATTTAAGTTGCGAGCCTAATATTTTTTGGGATTTTTTTGCGCATTTCCATCGGTCACACGAAATAGGGCGTTTATTGGAAAATAACAAGTAGCAGTTAGACAAAGATTAAAAACAACAAACCCATAGCCATTTTACAAACCAGATCTACAAAGTCAAAATGGCACAGGCCAAGACGTCGCAGCCAAAATTCTTGCCCCCCATCGAAAAGAGCTCTAATACTTACGTTGCCACTGCCGGTGGAAACCCATTCGACGAGGCTGAAGATGAGGAAATATTCAGTAAGCGCAGGATGACACTTAATATACCCAGTAATTGCAGCGGGGACTTGATGCATTTAATTGTCGCAAACAACTGGGTGTTTTGTTTGCTGTCAGCAGAAGGGCGGCTGACGCTGCTGCGATTCTTTCCACCTCGCGCAATTCCACCAGGCCGTGAGCTAAGCCCTTTTCTATCGATTGCGTATCTTAAAATTAATAATAATTCTGCACTTGCTTACAGAAACTGCGTTAGAAAAATATCTCGCTGGCTATAAAATTACAAATATTTTTCTTGATACTACCGGCCATCACCTCATTGTTTCACTGGTGCCCAAATCACCAGGTGTCTCGTCCGACTTTCTCTACATACACAGCACGGAATCGCCCCAAGGACAACAGCTTAAAGTGCGTCGAATCGAGAAGCTAAAAGATCACGAAATCACATCGGTTGCTTTTAACACATACCATGGTGACAAATCCACGACAGGCTATATACTGATGGGCACCAGTCGCGGGCTCATCTTTGAGACGGAATTGAGCACAGCCAGCGACACGCAGAGAAAACAACTCTACGACCTCGGTCTGGGTCTTAGCAAATATCCCATTAACGGGCTGGAGGTGCTGCGTGTGCCCAATAGCAATCGCTGGATAGTTGTGGCCACCACACCGGACAGTATTTACACATTCCACGAAACGCTAAAGCCGGAAGAACGTTCCCTCCAGCCCATATTTGCGAGCTATGTAAATGGCGAGCGGGAGCCATACTGTGAAAAACAAAAAACCGATTTGAGTTACTCAACGCTTCGGTTTTTTGCTCCTCCCAATAGCAAATATCCAAAACAATGGGCCTGGCTGTGCGGCGCTGGCATACGCATTGGTGAGGTAAGTGCAAACTGAAAGATAAGGTTCCTAAAAACAGACTGATAGAGAGAGACGGACATGACTATATCATTTGATCAAAAATATATACACACTTGTATATGTGTTACACCTCAAAATAATGTTTGCTCCTGATTATAGCTTTCAATAGATCCAAATAGTATTACACCGCTGATGGGGGACACATTGATCAATTTGGATTTGGAGAAAGGCAAACATTTGTCTTACGACGAGCGCCGTATACATGTACCCAAGTCCTTCGTGCTGACGGAATATCATGCCGTGCTTCTTTACGCGGACTACATAAAAGCCATCTGTTTGCTTAACCAGGAGTTAGTCTACTATGAAACATTCGATGAGGCCAGAGTTGGGAAGCCTTTGAATATGGAACGGGACGCTGTCACAGGTGCCATATACGTTTACACAGATAAAGCGGTCTTTACGCTAAGAATCACCCGCGAGGAGCGAAACATATGGCGTATATATTTAAATAAAGGCCAATACGAGCTGGCAACGGCGCATGCCGCCGGAGTGCCCGAGAATCTGCATCTGGTATTGGCGCAGCGTGCCGAGGCCGCATTTAAAGAGGGCGCCTATGAGGTGGCCGCAAATTATTATGCAGAAACCAATGAAACATTTGAAAAGGTGTGCCTAAAATTCATGGTGCTGCCCGATAAAAGACCGATAGTTAACTACGTTAAAAAGCGACTCACTAAGCTGACCATGACGAATGTGCAAGAACGGGCCGAACATCAAGCTGATGCCATCAAGGCCTTAATCATCTGGCTGATCGATCTATATCTAACGCAAATTAACACGCCCGGCAAGGACGAAGCCTTGCGCCAAGAATGGCAGGCGGAATACGATGAGTTCATGCGTGAGCCACCTGTTTTGGCATGCACAAGTGAGCAGCGGATTGCCGTGCGACAGCTGATTGCAGAGCATGCGGATCCACACAACTTGGCGCAATTCGCAATCTCTATAGACGACTACGAGGAGGTGATCGGACAACAGCTGAAGGCAGGCAAACATGCTGAAGCGCTGCAAACGCTGTGTAAGCAGCGAGATCTGACGCTCTACTACAAGTATGCGCCTGACCTGATGGAGCGGCTGCCAAAGCAAACGATCGATGCCCTGATGGCACAAGGCTCCAAATTGGAGATTGAAAAAGTAGTGCCCACCCTTATTGTAATTGATACGCCGGAACAGCGGGAGCAGGTTATACGCTATCTCGAGTTTGCCGTCTATAAACTAAATACCTCGAACGATGCCATACACAATTTTCTACTGCATCTATATGCGCAATACGATACAAAGCAGCTAATGAAATACCTGGAGATACAGGGCCGGGATGAGACATTGGTTAATTACGAAATTCACTTCGCATTGAAGGTGTGCACTGAATTGGATGTGAAGGTCGCCTGTGTGTTCCTGCAGTGTATGCTGTGCATGTGGACAACTGCAGTCGACTTGGCGCTACAATTCGATATGAAATTGGCCAAAGAGACGGCATTAAGGCCACAGGACAATGAGACGCGCCGCAAATTGTGGCTACGCATAGGTGAGTATATTTATTGCAGGGCTTCGAACCGGCTTCCTGCATTTTCCTAGATCCATAAACCAAGCGTTTGGTTTGTCTTATATATTTTCACAAATGTGTTAATGAAACAAGTCAATTTTCAATTATTTCCGTAATTACAAATATGTTGTGATTAATCGCAAGTTATTTGAAAGATTTGATTCTTGGGATTCGGCTGTGTTTTTTGGCAACTGATTTAGCTTAAAGTTGGGTATATATGAAAAAATTAAATGCAACTGCGGGTTCGAAGCGGTTTGATGATAAATCGGTTTACAACCTTATTGTACTTGTACTCATCGTATTAATAATCCTATAGCCTACCATGAAATCAAGGGTACGAACGATGTAAAAAAAGCGCTGAGCCTGCTAAATGAATGCGATTTGTTGCGGATTGAGGATCTGCTGCCATTCTTTTCAGACTTTGAGAAAATTGACAATTTTAAAGAGGCTATTTGTGATGCTCTAAAGGTAAGTTTGACGTATGACACCAAATTACATATATATAAATTCCATGGTTTCTCCTTGCAGAAATACAACGAGCGCATACAGGCGCTGCAGCAAGAAATGGCTGAAACAAGAAAGCAGTCGCAACTTGTGTGCAAGGAACTGCGTCAACTGAAACAACACAGCATTCGGATGGAGGCGCAGGATGTGTGCGATATCTGTGATCTTATACTGCTGGTAAAGCCGTTCTTTGTGTTTATTTGCGGGCATAAGTTCCATAGCGACTGCCTGGAGAAGCAGGTCTTACCAATGTTAAATAAGGAGCGCAGTCGCCGACTAACGATGCTAAAGCAACAAATGGAAACTTTAATGGCACAAACAATTGGCTCGACCAATCACACAGCCGAGCAGCAGGTGAAACGCGTTGATCTCAAAACAGAAATCGAGGAAATACTTGCGTCCGATTGCCTCTACTGTGGCCTGCTGATTGAGACCATAGACCAGCCTTTTTTCGACGATTGGGATCAGGTCAACGTTGAATGGGAATAGCAGTCTCTTAGTTATTACAGCATAAACATGTATATACTAGAATAAACTACCCGGATCGCCTCGGTTCAGATGTTCAAAATGCAAGTGGTGCCGAAATTTATTGTGTTAGATAAAATAGAAATAGGTAGATAAAATAGAAATTCTACTTTCACCGAAGAAGTTTGGATTTTGCGAAAAATGGGAAACAAGTCTCAAATGATTTTTTATGTGGATCCTTGGAAATGAATTTGAGGGCCGAAATCTTTGACCCCAATCCCGCAGGAGGAATGGATTTTCCAAATAGTCTGAAACGCACCTCAAATGAATTTACACAAAGATCTTTGAAAATGAGTTTGTGGCCGATGTGGGATGGTCGAGAGAAAAGTTGCATACAAACGTTTTTCGCGATTTTTCCACACTTTCGGTTGGAATTTTCCGAAAATTTCCCGTCTTAACGTGCACCTACATGTCATAAGGTAACTACAGTGAACGTTTCAGCTTACCAGCTCTTAAGGTTTGGGCTGTGCGTTGACAAACAGGACAAACAGTTTTATATGTGTAGAGATATATAGTATCTAAGGCAATTATTATTAAAAAATACATTTGCTTATGTACATCAGTAAAAAATCGGTAATTAGACCAGGGCGCATTCCAGTTATCAGGTTATCAGTCAACAATCTGCATGCGCAGTTCATTGGTAACAAACGACATAATTGTACTGAGCACAGCCTGTTGAACGGAGGCATTCTGCGTAATCAACGGAAGCAGCATTACCAAGTCTGTGGGATGAACCTCGGCGATGGCTTTTGTCACATGCTGCACTAGCTGTTCGCGCTGCATGTCTGTCAAATCGTTTAATATAACCTCGCCCAGCGGCTTAAATGTGCCTGATAACAACAAACAACAACAAATTAATAAAATACAGCACGAATCATCATGATCAACACACGGTACACTAACCACTGGTCACTTTGTAGGCGGCAATTCCTCCGGCAGCGCCACCAACAGCTAAGCCCACTGGACCCATCAGTAGGCCGCCTGCAAAACAGCAGGCAGCACAGATCGCTGTGCCCTTTGCGGATTGTTTTACAGCTACACGTATATTCCGCTCATCAGCCACAATTGCAATAGCTTCCATTAGCTCGCGCGTATCAATCGGCATTTTGATTATCTATTATAGAAGATGATGAAATAGTTTAGGTTTTGCATAGACGTACGGCTTAAATTATCTGCATACTTGTTCGGCTCTGTTATTGTTGGTATTGCATGCGATTCATTTATATTACGCGATATTTCCTCAGACAACATCTGATGTCGCGTCATGGTACAAAGAACAGTTATTATACTGATATTCCTGCGGAAATACCTTTTCCATAGAAAGAGACCAATATATGTATGGTGGTGGCACCACCGATAGTTTTAATATTTATGAAAAATAACGCAGATTTACTTATTCCCAGAATATTAGAAACACAGTTGCGATAGTTTCATCGAGATTCTTACATCTCTAATGGTAACTATAAAAATATGATGTCATTTGGTATTTTAACGCATTGAGAGCAATGTTCAGATTCAGTAAAAATGCCAAAAAATACTGACTTTTTAGATTCAACTTATAACAACCATGTTTAGTATTTTAGTAGATGAAAATCGCGCTTACTACTTGCTGGGCAGCCTTAAAACACTGTTGCGTGCGTGCTGTTGTCGATAATATTCGCTATTTCTTGATTTTGTTCAACATTTCGGATTAAACTGTATACTACTGAATTTATTTTGAAAATACAACAATTTGTTTTTTTAACACAAAAACAATTGACCGATATGACTGAAATTATTTCTGTAGTGTCGTAGTTTTAAGCATACGCAAACAATATAAGAGATTTAAAATTTCGAAAATGTGATCATGTTTTGTTTTTAAAACATACAAATGCTTATTTACCAAATCGCAGTTGTCGTCGCGCTTCAACAAAGGCAATGGTTGCTTGTAAAGATGTAAGTCAATCGCGCATACGCAATACATATGTGCAAATGTACCCAATTTTATACTGACATATATGCATGTGTATTTCTGTTTGCTTGTATATGTCAACATTTATGTGAACTTTAAGCTTTATCAGTTGCGTGCACATAAAATGCATTTCTAGAATATAATTTTACAGCGTTTAAGACTCATTGCATATTGATTTGTTTGTATATCGACAATTTTAATGTGAGGATCACATTGAGATGGGTAAATGCTCTGAAAAAATATACGACGTCAAAATATTTATTTGTATAATGCGTATACACATATATATTTTGCATATATGTATGTATGTACGTTACTACATACGCGAATTCTCGCAGCATTAACGTGAATATGGCTATATTAGCTAACATCCATTAGTGCTCGCATAAACATATAAAGGAATAATTGAATTTGCGGCAATTCGTAAATAAATTAAAAAATTAGCGAACCGGCGTCATGTATAATTAACAAGAGTAACTAGAATAAGCTGAGCAGATTGTATATATTTATATGTACGCATGTATATGTGTTTACCTATGCATCTGTCTCAAGGAATAAGTATGTATATGTAAAAACGCTTGCGTACATATATAACACATTAAATGTTTATGTGTATGTACATACCTAGTTACTTGTTGATATACCCCGTCTGTGTCTGCGGCGCGCCTTCGACTTGCTCGTTAGCCAGTCGACTCGTCTATCCACAGTGTTGCATTGCATAGCTGAATTAGCTATAAAAGGCTAAAACATTTGAACATTTTAACTGTTTGCTGCCACTGTGGGTAGCCAAATGTAGCTAGAAAATAGCTGAACTGGCAACATCAGCAGCAACACTCAAGTTAATTACCGCAACCGGCAACCGCAGGCCAAGCCTTGTTCTTATCGAATTACATGTGCGCTAATTAATTGTGCAAACATCCCGCTGGCTTGGCCAGGCGTCGTATTAATATTTACATTTGTATTTGTATTTGGATATCCGTTTTGTGGCACAATTAATAGACAATTTCAATAAAATTCGCGCGCCCTTTTTGTCTTTGCAGCTGGTTTTATTGTTAATGCTGGTGGCACACGCATGCGCGCGTCCCGAGCAGCAGCAGGTGACGGTGCCGCCACAGCCTCTGGCAGCAACTCCATCAGAGCAGGCGTCCCCGTTGGTAACACAATCGATAGAGGAGGTGGATATGGTCACGCCACCAGCCCCCACGCCGGCACCACCCAATCAACATCGTGTCAACGAAGCAGACAACTCAGATTCATTGCCAGCTATAACACCGATGACCAGTACGACGGCTGCTACACCGTCAGCGGAAGTCTCTTCCGAATTGCCAGAATATCTGAGAAACTGTTTTTATGCGGAGGAGGAGCTGTGCCACAACTGGCGCCGCCACAACGCTAGTAGCGATGATCCACACATACCCGATCGTGCGGATATCCAGCTGGACACTGGCGCCGAAAACATGACAGCGGATAATATGACTGCGTACAGTGGACAAAATGGCAGCCTGTCGCTCACGGCTCACGGTCAGCAGAGTCCTGGAGAGCGCGACTCGAACGGCTGTCAGTGCCGTGAGCATCCGACGCGTGTTAACTCTTGGTACTGCTGCAATATAACGCATATTTCGATGATCTCCAGTTGCAGCAACATATCGAAATGGACAAACCTGCACGTACGCAATCTTACCGTGCAGGCTATGGATCTCTCCAATTCAATATATCGATCGCTGCAGTCGCTCGCCGTCACGGATGGAAATATAATGCAGCTGACGAATGCCTTTCCGCGACACTCCAAGCTCAAGTGCCTTAACATATCGAATAATAACATTTCTGAGATCGCATCCCGGGCGGTCAAGGATGTGCCCCACCTAGAATTTTTTGGTATATCGAATAATCTGCTTTCCCGTGTGCCAAATCGAAACCAGAACAAGAACATTGCCTTGGACATTAGGTGAGTGTTGTCCCCTAGCCTTGTAGAGACTTGTAGAGACTAAAATATATATATATATAGGCCTGATCACCATCAACAGCTGAGTCCATATAGGACTTCTATGGAAACTCGTGCTTCTTTAAATATAGATTTGTTTTAGAGGCAAGCCGGGTTGGGGCACTTTTTCATATAGCTTCCATAGCCAGGATCGATCGGTCAAAAGTAAAGATATTTTTAAGATCAAAGTTATCAAAGTCATGAAGGTGGAGATTTCGAACAGAATACCCTGTAATGCTTATTGTAATCACATGAGACCTTGGTTAGACAACATTTAAGAAAAAAGGTTTATAATAAGGTGTTCGTCTAATGGGGATAGAGAAGCTTCTTGTTTTGGCTCATCCCAACAGTACTGTACTCGTACGAGTAGATTGCGTGAATCATAATTTAACGATTATTTTAAGATGGAGGATTAGGTGGGTGTCTACTAGTATTTGATAGCTACCGATCACGTTGCTGTACATATTCAATTCTGTCTGTCTTGAATAATTATAATATCATATCTTATAGTGGCAACATGCGTTTGCTCTGTGAGCCCCTCAGCGAGATCATCTATATCGATTCATTCAACATTGTTAATCCGGAGCACTCGTTTTGTTTGTATAACGCGACACACAAGTGGTTTAATTCGACGGATCTGGTTTCCGTTAAGCAACTTGAAAGCATCAAGAAATGTGGCACCAAGTGTCCGAGTATACCGAATTATGGCAACTGTTCCTGCAATATATACAGTATCATGATAATACAGGGCGATCAATCGAGGACCGTGTGTAATGTCGATTGTTCTAACCTTGGCTTGGTTGAGCTACCATCCCAGTTGCCGGACAACACGTTTACGTTAAACATAAGCAACAACAAAATAAGCAGCCTCGGCGATCATTTCCACACAAATCCCACTTATTACAATATTGTTAAACTGGTCGCCGATAATAATCATATATCTTCTATATACGAATTTGAGGGCACCAAGTTCATTGAGCAATTTCAACGCCTCTACATGCGGAACAATTCGCTGAGTAAAGTGAGCCAAACGAAATAAGATTCCCACTTAACATGGATATACTACTATTGTCGTTTACTCTTCCTTTCAGATACCCGAATATTTTTTGAACAATGCTCTTATGGATACGGGCATTGGACGTCGCATTTATCTGGCAGAGAACAGACTCCAATGTGATTGCAATTCGGCAAAAACGTTGCAAAACTGGCTTAAGGAACGCAGCACCGATATACCCGACTATATGGACATAAGATGCCGCAATTTACCTCAAAGCGTCATCGAGCTACAGGAAACAAAGCTGTGCCAGTCACCGCCCGACTGGACGGACTACATATACTATTTAATAGCAGCGGAGGTAATACTCCTGCTAGCTCTGATCACAAAGGTCTCCTACGACTACTGGGTTTTTAAGACAGCTGGCTACCTGCCATGGCCAGCAAGCAAAATGCCGAAACTGCCCTGCGACTGGCTGTGCGAGTCCTAGATTAGCTAATCGATAAATCGCGAGACTGGACGTTGACATAGCATATCCGCTTGACACTTCACCATGAGCGACTATAACAAATATCGAGTTTGATGTGCCTTCTTACATATATATATTTATTTATATTGCAACAGATCTATCTGTTTACTGGAATGAAATGTTGTGTACCAGCTAAACGATATGTACCTATATATATATATACCTATAGCCCATGACACACTATAACGGATATCATCGATTTCAATGTGCCTTCTACTATCTAGTTTTTAAATAACCCCTATACACGTTGTAATGAAATGTTATGTATATTTGATGTCAATTATTGTATGCGAATTTGTGTTTGATCGTGAAATATGTGAATATGAATTTACTGAGCTATATAAAGAAATAATGAATATCCTAAAACATATAGTCTTAGTTACTTAGTCTTAGTTTTGCAGGATTCGCTTTTGTGTATGTACATGTAAGTACGCCTTCTAAAAATTCGATTAAAATCAGTACAGCTGGGGCTACTTTGCGTATGATATATTTATTGTTGTGGTTTCTTGCAATTTAAATATGTATTACAATAATTTTAAGAAAAAAATGCGCATTTTTATGTTCACATCTATGCATGATGATTTTGTATAGTTGTTTGTTTTTGGTTTTTTTTTTTTTATATATTTTTATTATTGTTATTAATCTTTATAGTACCTACTTTATGCCATGTTACTAGAAGTATTGCCACGCATGTTTGCAGTTGATTGTGTGTAAATGTGTGTGTGCCTAATAAGAAAAACATTTACGTATACATACATACATACATTCAATACCATTTGATTTGGTGGTGTTTTTATGCATTACTATATTTTAAAATATGTTTAATAAGTTTTATCATTATTAAGTTTTGCCGCTTTATAGTATTTAAATACTTTCACATATGTAGTTTCGTACTTCTTATCGCTGTAATCAATTCTTTTGAATGTATTTTCGTTGCGTGACTTTTTTTTTTGTATGCTATACATATTTGTCAAAATTTAAATCAAAGTGCTTTCATTATTGAAAATATGTATTAATAATGTGTATAAATATTTTGAGCGCATCTTTTTATTTTCGTTATATTTGTATATAGTATGAATTAAAAATGTCAATTAGTTAATTCGTATCGTATTGATGTGTAATTTAACGATTATGAACAATACTCACTATTCGTCGATTTTGGCGTAGCTCGATTTCGAAAGTCGAGCTACGTCAAAATCGAGGAACATTTTGTTTATATAATTATGTTTCTCTATTTACTATGTGAAACATACAAATAACGATTTTTACAAAATATGCTTATTAACTGATAAAATGTGTATCATTGGCAGGGAATAGGAATAGTTACATGTAACCGTCGTATATATACATACATATAAAGGCATAAATACGTAAAATTACATCCAAAAAACTGGGAAATGCATTTTAAATTTATATAAAAATCTGGTACAAGTGCAACAAATTTTTAATTGTATATATGAATATGTACATCTAATACCCTTACGGTACACGAATATTATGCTAAATGTATAATAAAACATTTTATATATGTTTGTTTGTAAGTATGTATGTACATATGTATGTCAGTGTACACATAATTTGTATTTCAAAAGCATTCCAATTTGCTAAAAACATGTAAAAACTTAAGTATGTATTTAAAAATTACTAGCTATGAAGAGCTGTGCTATGAAATATATTAAATATGTTTCGACTAAAACAGAGCGAAGTGCCATACATACATATATACAACTTGGAAATAACTGAGCGCCTGAATATATGATAATTTGTATAATTAAAAAAAACAATAGACTTGATTTGAGGAGCACTAACAAATAAATGGGCGGACCGACATGGCTCGAATGTGATGCGCACATTCGTTCAAATTAATAAATACATATACCCATTTAATGGGCGTACGGTATAAGCAATAACATTTATTTTCGGTATTCCGAAGAAATCGACTCTTCCCAAAAACGTCGTCAAATTGTTTTCAGTGTGATAGATGGATTTTGGAAAGAGTACACCGTGTCGGGGATAAAATTAGCTAGTTTTATTTTCTAAGAAATATAATCGTACCTATTGATTATTTTTAGTAATTATTCATTACATTTTGATGACCTAGATATATAGAACTATCAGTCTCACGTCCCATACCAAAAAAAATAATAAAAAAATAAATAAATAAAAAAAAAACGAAATATATTAAAGTAAATATGTAAACAGCAAAATGTTTGTATGTGATGCTTTTCCTTGACATTGTGGTCTGCCTATTTAGGACCAGCTATTTCTCTGAACCAGGATATAAATATTTCGCTAATGGATAATAGGTAGACATTTCATGCGTTACGGGGGGGGGGTTCTTTAATATTCTACTCATGCTCGGTATGCATATTGTCCAAAATCTTTTGAACAGGGACATATACTATAAGATGTACTTATGTACATACATACATACAGCTATGTGCTGCTATTATTCGGGTGCATGTGTCTAAAGTTTTGGATTTTCATTTGGCAATGGGTACATACAAACATACACTCGCACATTAACGTATATGAATTTTTGTATGTACGACATTTAGATGTAACCCGTATAAGTACGAGTTTAGTTTCTTAACATTTCTTAACAATTCTATTATTCAATTATTAATGATATTACAGAGTCTTCGTGTGTTATGATGTCTGGTTAGCAAGAGTGACAAAGATAGTGATATACGGATACGGGTGAAATTCGTGCAAGTGACAGAGATAGAGACAGACACATAATGCTTCAATTAACCGGGCGCTACAAACAGATTAAATATCAATTTTCGTTTCGCTCCATGCCAATTTCCAGTTGTGTTAAAGTATTTCCGTCTCATACACCTGCTTAGTGGTCATTGTAGATGTTTGTTGTAATTGTGTGTTTGCAGCAGCAGCAGCAGCAGCAGCAGCAGCTCCTGTACCAATTGTCCCAACAACAACAACACCACCGCCGCCGACCACACCACCCGTAGCATCACTGATCAACACACCATTTGTAGCCACAGTAGTGTCAGCCGCCGCAGCGTCGCCACCACAGGCCAGATTCAATGCGGCGATCTTTTGCTGTATATTCGATTCGCCGCTGGCCAAGTGTTTAAGGTCCTGTGTGGAGCAGGATATGTCCACCGAGGGTATTTTGCTCATTTGTTGCAAGCGCTGGTATTGTTCCTGCAATAGCTTCTGTTTCTTTAATAGTTCCTGGTGCCGCATTTCGAGAGCAACCTGCCGCTGGGCATGATCGTTGCCGGACTCATTGCCACTCGAGTTGTCGCCACTGGAGGTGTCGCCACCGCCGATAACGACAGTTTCGATGCTGATGTTGATATTGTTGTCAGCAGCTGCTGCTGCGGCGGCAGCTAGTATGTTCTGTGGCACATTTGGGCTTGTCGGACTGGCCAGTGGACTGCGTGAGCTGGTACGCGGCGGCGGTGGTGGCGGTATGCGTTTGTGACCCACTTTAGTTATTAAATCGGCGTTACGCTCGGGAACTGGTGGTTTCATGATGCTGCTGCTGCCACCATTTGCCAGACTGTCACGCGCTGGGAATTCGTTGTCCGATTCGCTGGGGAACGAGTGCAGGCGACGTAAACTGCCCATATTGGTGTGCACCATTAGCTGATGCTGCTGCTGCTGCTGCTGCTGGGACTGGGACTGGGACTGGGACTGGGTCAATGGGCCACGTGAATGTTGTGCGGAGCCTGTTGCCACAGCCATGACCATGCTGTTGGTGTTGGCCTGTTGCATATTTACGTTGGATTCGGTGAAAAGGCGAGCCTGGGATATTTGCGTGGTGACGGTACTTTGTACAGCAGCCTGGGCGCTCTCATCGGATGCCGAGTCTTCGGGGCGTACCTTTGTCAATACACTCCGGGGTAGAGGTCAATAAGTCTATATATAATATGCTGCCAAACTAACGAGCCTTTTTAAGATTTCGATTCTTGATTTCGCATTTGCTTTTGGCAACACTTTGGAATTTGATAGATTTGAATGGAATTTATATATGGGGAACACCAAATCATTAAGATTCCAAAATCAGAATCGAAATCTAGAATAGGCCCGTTAATCACTTACCTCGAATTGTTGCTGTTGTTGTTGTTGCTGTTGTTGTTGTTGTTGTTGTTGCTGTTGTTGTTGTTGGGCAATTGGCTTTGAAAATGTCTTGAGCTCGTCTAGCAGAGCATCGAGTGCGTTTTCGGGTGCGAATCCCCCGCTGACAGTGAACGACCCCATCCTGGGTGTTGGGATTGGCTACAAAAATATATAATTGTACAATTGTGAATGCATAAATGATAGCCGAAAAATTGAATTAAAATTGAAGTTTCAAAAACATTGCACATTTATACATAGTAGTTATTGTATGTATATAGTACTTCATGTGGCACAGCAGTATTGTTAAATAAATACATTTTGTACAACTTTTAAGAAAACCCATCAAGTTAGTGGCTAAAAGAAAAATGACAAAGCCATAATGCCGTCAATTTACAGGTTGCATACAAATGAATCATGCTGTGCGCACAAGGACAATATTTAGTATGGGACAATATTTAGTATCACTACAACAACAATATTTTACAGAATTAGCTCGTTAAATTCGTAACGAAAATAAGTGTATATAGTTTGATAATAATAGTAGCTCAACATGCAGAATAATACAAATCAATGTTTAAGGTATAACAAATCAGAGACCATACCAAGTCTTAGGCTCAGTAGAGTTTTTATATTAAGAATTTTGGCCTAGGTGATGCTGATCTGATTTTATCTTATCAATTTAGAGAACTGAAATAAATAAATGTGCTCCAATAGTTAAGGCTTTCCATTACTGCGATTAAAACTCGTTTTAGTTTTCTTTTAAACAATAACTTTCAAAGCAATCTCCAAGTCTTTAACATCGGACCGGTATGGCTAAAGATATGTATGAATATTTTTTGCACATTTTAAAATTAGCCCATTTACATGCAGCAATATCGATATTCTTATTACAAATTTTATGAAGTACACAGAGTATGCGTAGGCAAACAAAACAAGCTCTTACATTTGTGATTAAATAGTTTTTTAAAAAAATTCGAATGGGGTGAGGTAGACATTAATTAGGACTCAGTATTAGACTATGTGACGTTAAACAGAAATACATAAGCGACATGAAATATGTAAGATGTAGTATATTAAACATAGCTCCAAATGAAGTCTTCACCGATTAAATATTTGGGTAAGTTCAGGATCGATTGTTTATCAATAAATAAATAGGCTAAGGTGTGTGTAGACTTTAACTTTATAAATTGTTAATTCGTTTTTATAGATGGCATCATAGTTAAAAATAAATATATGTATATGTATATTTGAAGCCGTCGATGACTGAATGTACGATGATGGGTAAATAGATGATGGTTAAAACTTCAAAGACAACAATCGATGAGTGAGAATATTATGTGACTGACTGCTTGCATACATTAATTTGTAAAAACTTGGCCTTTTATTTGGTTCGATTTGTTTAATTTGATAATGATATATTGATTGACTGCGCGCTTTTAAATGATTTGTGTATGCATAAACAAAGGTACATTTAAAGACATACTCTTTTTTGCAACTACAACATTAATATACAAATATTATTTTCTTATATATATATATTTATTTTATTTGTTTACTAGCTTTGGGCTAATAATAAATATTTGAAAAAAAATTCTTGAAAGCAAATAAACATTCTATAAATATGATGTTTGCATATTTGAAGTCTTCGGCATACCGAATCTTACTCTTTCCAAAAGTTGTACAATTTTATTTAAATATTTAGTAGCCAATCACAGAAAGGCAAAGGTATTTTATTTTTTTCTAGTTTTTCAATCATAAATTCCAATTAATAGGAAAAGTCAGCGGCAGTCATCAGAGGGGAATAATATAAATGTATAATAATTGACCAATGTTATTTATTGTTGTTGTCTTTTAAATAAAAATATATGTATGTTTGCAATTGTTTCTGTGATGAAAATGAAAATCTGAATTGCCATTATCCATTATCTTTTGAACGAGTAAGTAGAAAGTGAAGGCTGGAGACAGGGCCCCACATACATACATGCATGCACACACAAGTTAATGAATTTGATTCAGTTATGGTAAAACTTTTTGCGAAAGAGCTTTTTACATAAATAATTTGACAAAAAACACAACAGAGGAGAGTTGAAGAAGAAACAGATTGTAAGTATTTTGTAAAGTATATGAAAGTTGTCTCGAATTGTTGTCAAAGAACAGCAAAACATTACTGTTGAAATTTTTTTAATCATTTCGGAACTAATACATACATATCGACTGTTTGCAAATAATAATACCCGAACCAATGCATTAGTGAAGACAAATGAACAAGGTTTGGCTTCGCAGCAGCTTTACCACATAATGCATAATGTCATTTATTTAAAAGATATATGCAAATAAATAAACCTATATTGGAACATAATTATTAAACCATACATGAGATACATAAAGAGCTCACTCATCAGAGAATAATATTTCTATAGCCAAATTGAAGATGGAATATTTTGCAAATTATGGCTCAGCATACAACATATTAATATCCTTATAGCGGGTATTGTAATTATGACAAGAAATGCGTAACTTATAGAAGGAGACATCTCCCGAAACCCTAAAATAAAGTATATATATATGCTTGATATGTATCTATACACTCTGTAACAGCTACATATGCCCGTCTGCCTGTTTCCAAGAAACTATTCTCTGTCTCAGTCATGAAACTTTTCATCGGACGATTATATCATATCAACTTCCAGAGGAAAGATCTGTCGGAAATGAATTTCTTGTCTATCCAGATATTTTGAATATACAAGGAATAGTTTCACGATGCTCTTTACATATGAAATATGAATAGCATTGGATGACTAGAATGAGTTTTTATAGTCTTTTTTTTTTTTTGTTTTGATATTTGTTATATTTTTGATGTCCCCAACCCCTCGTCCCCAATCTATATCATATCAAATATATATGTATAAGTTTTTTCAAATCATTTTGTTGATAGTTTTACAATCCAGACTGTATAGAAATAGTAAGATGTGTGTAGAGGGGTGCACGGGCAGACCACAGACGAAAGCAATGATAAACGAATATTAATAAAAATATATGAATATTTTGAGCACACAAGGAGGTGTTGTTTAGGAGCACATTTGAAAGTTGTGTTTTTTTTTTTTATTATTATTATTTATAGGGACATCTGGGATTTAAAGTATTTAATGGAACGGGGGGAGATTAAAACGATTTTTCTACCACAGAGTTTGTAGCTGTTAAGTCTTTTTGAAAACATGTATAATAAATTGTGTGTCAATTCCATTTACCTTTCATTTTTTTGCTTGCCTGTCATTGTCTACGTTCAAGCATTGATTTTTTTGATTAATTTTGACTACAAAATTTGGCGATCTATTATTATATTTAGGTACTTTGATCCGTAGCTTTTTCAACATTTTTAGCTCTTCATATCATTTGTAATTTGTAATTTGTAATTTATATAATTTGTAATTCCTTTAGCGCTGAACATATGAAGGAATTTGTAGCCCAGAAGTGTGCACACACACACACGCACACACACACACACACACACACACACATTCAAGGTGTATGGTTTTGCCTTTGGACAAACCCCTTTTGGAAAGCACATTACGCACACACATTCATATATGTATACACATAAGTTATATATTATATATATGTAACTAATGATTATTGCAGTTGGTAATTGTGTGTGTTTTGGGCTTATATGTAGCTTTTTATATGAGTTTAGTATTAATTAGAAGTTTATAGCAGTAGTAAGTAGTATACAAAAATATAAACTAGTTATGTTTAATGCGGAGCAAATAATGTTTAGCTAAAATAAAATGGACATATTTTTTTATGAGTTCATCATCATTTAAGAATGGTTTTTAGTAATTTTTGGTTTTTTGTATTATTTTTTTTTTTTTTTTGGTTTTTTTTTTGTAATATTTGTATTTTCAGTCATTACTCAGTAATTGCCTCTTTGAAGTTAGAACTCCATCGCCAGTTAAACTATGTGGTTGTTGTTGTTGTTGTATACGATATCAAAATTGTTAGTTCCAAAAAAGGCAAGAAGAAGAAAACGAAATCACTAGGTAAACCTCATTTGATAAGACTTTTTAGCTTTGATTGGTTTGTGTTTTGATCATCATATCAATATATGAATAGCGTGTTTCAATACGTAAAACGTTTTATTCGCTTTTATTAAAAATAAACTTTAAATTTGGTTTTTTTTTTTTGTAATGGTTCCCCCTTTTTATGGAGATGAAGAAACATCGGTGAAGCTTCGCCTTTCGAAAAAAAAAACTGTTGTGGGATTTGTTTTGGAGTTAACACTATATCAATGAAATAAAGCATAAAGAAGGTGTCGCAGTATGAACAAAAAACTACTTATATTAACAGCCAATTGCAACTTGTTCATAATAATCTGCAGAAAACAAGAAAAACAAAAAAAAAGCATACGAACCAATTAGTTTAGAAATAAATATGATTGATTTACTAGATAGCACTAAATACTAGCTTGCTTATTGAACCCTTGCAAAGTTTTGAATAACCGTTTATACTCGATGCGCACTATTTAAGATGAAATGAGTTTAAAATAGGTTTCACATTCCTTTCCATATATATACACACAAATTAGGTAACTAGTATATATTTGTTTAAATATTCCAAAAGATTATGTTGTCTGCAATTCACTTGGCGTAACTGCAATATCTCAAGGCAATTATCAAAATTTACCTCAGAAAAACTATTAGAGATTTGCAAATAATGCGGATGATAAAAGACGCACACAAGTGAAACTCATTCAATTGCTGATTTAAAAAGTTAATTTGGCCTACTATTTACTTTTAATTAACACAACAAATTTGTTGTGTTCTATATAATTTGGCTAGCTTTTGGTCAGAATTGGGTTACAGACAATAATTTAAATGTAAAATAAAGTATGAGTATTTGAATTTTTCAGTTTTTAATTAGTTGTAAGCATTTATACACATATGTTAAAACATAAACATGACTTAATGCTGAAATTTGAACCAAGTAATCTACTATGATTGAATATTTGTAGTATATACTATTGTGTATGTAAGCATGTATATAAAACATATACAATTCCATTTACCAAATTGAAATGTACTTAAAAATGGGGTTCAAACAGTTAATGTTGAATGTTGAATGTGATGAAACATTTTTGATTTGACTAGATTTGCTTTGTTTGTTTCTCACGTAAATATTCACTTACCTAGTTCAAAGGCAAGAGTACCTATTCTTTTACAAAACAATAATATTAAAAGTATTATTATAATGTCAATCAGCAATTGAATTGTTAAATAATTTCATTTTCATCTAACAATGTTTTTCGATTTGACGGACAGACGTTAAATGTTATACTGGACCGATCAAAAGTGAAAGGATTATGTTAAATTACGTTTCATCGTTTTTTTATAAAGTGATATCTCGAAAATATCCCAAATTTCGCAAGCAAAGTTACCTCTTAGAACACTCTATGTAAATTGATCAGATATTTAGTCTGCGGGCTTTTAACGATATATTTAGCAAGGTTACTAGTGTGCAAAAGAAAAGTTCATTTTTGCAAAATTAAACTTGGCCAATGCATAATTCTTTTCGGTCAAAAGCAACTAGTTTTTGGTCATCGAAAAATTACAAAGAATATTTTTTAAACATTAGTATATATATTTGAATATATGTATGACACGGTATGGTACGGTGTTTAATGCGCAAAAATAGCATTGGCAGTACAGCCCTAGGTGTTTTTTTTTTTTTTTTAAATAACTATTTTATTTTAGTGTACTGGTTTTTGCAAGAATATATATTTCTATGGGCATCTCTATGGAGGGACTCACCTTGTCGGGCACCGAAATATCGGCGGAACGCAAAGACTCTTCATTTACTGACGGCTCATTGGGTGGTAATCGTTGTTCCTGCACGCTTGCCAAACTGTTCGGTGAATTATTTGTATATTAGCAAAATATATATAAACATATTTGAAAGTAAAGTCTAGCATCGGTTAATTTGTTTGCTTCGATTTCGGATAGTCAACTCGTGCTTGACTTGTTTAACCCAATCAATTGTTGAGGTATCCGAAACGCATTTCGGTTAAATCGATGCGGGGCTCTATTTGAAATTTACAAACCGTTTAAGTGTCACCAAGGTGCCCGTAAGCTTTTTGCAGCGTCGCAAGGCCGACTCTAGGCGATCGGGCTCTTCTTTTAGGAACTTTTCTTCACGTACCACTTTCTCCATCTCGTTAGATAATATGCAACGCAAGCCATTCGATAGTGTCGGAAATTTGAGCTTCAGTTCAGCAACAGTTTTGCTATAATGCGGCAGTATTAAGATTGAATTTTGAATATGTTAACTTATTGCACATACCTGGCACGACTTAATACCAGCGCCATGTCCTCGACAGCTGTCATATTGACGCGCGTACGTCGATTGATAACCTCGCCGCGTAAATTCTCCACCGAAGCCTCCAAATCGCTTAGATCCTTTTCGAGTCGTATGACCTCCTGCTTGTATAGTTCTTCTTCCCGGGAGATGCGCGTGGTGTCCTGATCGCTTTGCCCCCAAAAGTTGCCATTGCTGGCCAACAATGTGGCACGTATACGCATAAAAGTGCTCTTGATATCCTCCCGTACGGCCACGGACTGGGCCTGCGATAAACGCCTCAAAGTTCGGACTTCCATGCGCAAATCCTTTGCCTTTTTTTGCAAGCCACGCAAATGATTGTAGACCTCCGGTGCGAGTGCAATGTCCGCACGGTAGCTGCTGGGATGCGAGGTCTGGGCCAACACAATGGGCTTTGGCGGTGGAGGGGGCTTTAGGCGATCGCGCTCTGTGGATTGATTTTACGAACAGCAAATTAAATCATTTACGAATTTGATTATTTGTAAAAAGTATATATTTTACGTGATTTGCGTTTAATGCATGCGTGATTGTTGTAAGTCGTTTTAAAGTAAATGATTCCCTTCGTTTCTTTTATAGCGTTCTTACCTTGAGACGACGTACGCGGCAAGGTAGACGACTTGATTGCCGGCTTGGTTGGTTTCGTATCAGCTTTGGGTCCGGTGCAGAATTATTTGTTTGAATAGGGATGAGTGTTAATATTATATGGCAACAAGTTTGGATCTGTAGTCTTTGGTTCTACTCTACTACAATTGTCTAAGTGATTTATGATATATATATCTGGATGATATATAAACAAAATAAAGTCAAGGAATGCAAAGTCAATGTCCAGATTATTAAACATCATTTGACTTCAACAAAAACCAAATGAAGCAAAAAAGCGAAAACAAAGAATGATATATGTATAAAATTTTGATGATATGTAATTTCTTGAATTTTGTTTTTATTTACCGGCATGTAGGGGATTATGTGACTTGGGTATTCCCTGTATATCGTCGCTAAATGAAACAGATTTCTCAAAGGACACGGATTTTTCTGAAAAAAAAAAAAACAGCACATGTCTGGGATGTACGTGCAAAAAAGTTTGGAGTACACTTACGACACGAGTTCTTTCCCAGTTTGGGTGCCTTTTCTCTAATATATAGCTCATCAGCGGAACCATTAGCTAAACAAAAGGAATAAAATAAAGATTAAAAATCAGAGCTACAATTGTGAATAGACGGTCAAACAAGCTCAAAAGCATTCACACAAATGAAGTTCTACCTGTTCGAGTCAGCCAAATGTTTGACCTGAGTCAACTTTTTAATTGCAACTCGAACAGCTCGAACCGAACTTGCTTGACCGTTGTTCGAGTTCACGATTGGATTAGAATCATATATATAACGACATACCTTGCATTTGTGTTGGCACAACGAGATAGTTGGAATCCAATGTGGGCACAGACATTGGCGCAATTTGGGGATTTTGATTGACCAAAGCCTTCTGGACCAATCCAGTCAAGTTGGCCAATTGACGCTCCATATGCTCAACGCGTATGCGATGCAAATCTTCGGGTCTGCAAATGATAAATAAGAACATTCGACACGCTATTGAACAGATACAACTTTTTGATTTACACATAAGTTTGGCTCACAGTTGTGACAAGTTCTAATTGAGCAACCAAGCCGAAAAAGAGGCGTCGGAAAGCTCGAAATAATTTAGTCAGGCAAGCGTTACAAAGACGGCTGCACAGAAATCGTAGCCCAATCGCATTCATGGCCAAATGTTTACACACAGTCGCAGAACTATGGCCTATTGCAGCGGTAGATATTCATATAATTATTTGAACCACTTTTACTCTGATCGATATATTGTTGTTGTTGCTTAACAGTGACCAGCACGCCAGAACGCTTTGCAAGCTGTTTGTCGAATTTTCAAATCGAAGATTTGCTGGTATTGAAGAAATCAATGGAACTCATGGCTCACGCAGAGAGACACCGCCGCGAAGGAGACCTTACCGATGATATTGCACCAAGTTGCACCAATACGACTGATGAGCCGCAGCGCTTGGCTTTAATGGCTGCTGATCGGTGGGTCAAAGGTTAACGCCCCTCTTTTCTCCAATTCCTATTCACGTTTCTTTTTTTTAGGGGGGTTGACCACGGCATATCGGGCCAACAGCCCTGGCAAAGCGATCCGGCCTGGGTCGAGGAGAAGCCATCCAAGCTGCAGACCTTGTTTCAAATAAGCATCACTGCTCTGGCCTTTCTTTCGTTTGGCGGCTATTTGCTTTGCCTCATCGTTCAGGCCATCAAGAGCAAGGGCACAACCTATTTTCATCCGGTGGCCACGGCAACTACAACCAATACAAATGGCAACGTGAAGCGTATCAAAATTTACAGACGCAGCCGACGTAGACGGAGCATCAACTCGGCTCACATTCCAAATATACTCATGGCGGACTATGCGACTTATATGGAATCCGTACGAAGGCAGCGTTTGGGCTATGCTCACCTGGTTGGGTCGTAGATCTGATTACCACGATGCGGCAGACGATTAGGGCCCACTTTAATGCCGTACAACGAGTACTGGTCTTCCGCGAGGGCCACATCGCTGTGAAGATAGTAGAAAGAGAGAGAATTTATATAAGTATATATTAGAATAAACTCCCGACATCTTAACTTAACTCTGTTAGACTGTCACTCATGTTCCCATTCCGCGTCTATGCACATTAAAAACAAATATTTTTTGTCTTCGGGGAATTCTACTCAATTTACTGATTATAATTATTATTGTTCACCTTTAATCGATCATTTTCCACCATTTCACTATTTCATTGCGAATAATAACAAACTAAATAATCGGATATAGAAATTGCTGCTGGATTTGAACCGGCGACCTTTTGCTTGTTAAATCAATGCTCAGACATTGGCTACATGTTTTTTATACTCACTTTGGTCCAAGAGGAAGCTTCAGCAGCTTTCCAGCTTTAACAGTTTCAGTTGTCAAGTCAGTAAGTCTGAACAGTAGGATAATACATACATACATATATATATATATATCTAACTAGCGGGTATAACCCGGCCTTGCCCGTGGCAAGTATGTTATAAAATCAATGTTCTCAAACAAATTTGAAATGATTTTGAAACTGAGCGGACGGTAAACTAATAACTTTCATAGAAACGTTTTCCGCCAATTTACCACTGTTGCGGGTGGAATTTCCCAAATCGCTGAAACACGTATTCATTACATTCTTATGTAGAGCTTTGAAAATAAGTTTCAAGCAAATCGCAAAAGCAAAGGAAAAAATAAAACTTCGCCCAAAAAATCTTTAAATCGCATTTCCCCCAAAGAAGTTTGAATTCCGCGAAAAGTGTGAAAAAAGTCTCAAATGATTTTTCTTATAGATCTTTGGAAACGAATTTGAGCGCGAAACGTCACCCACCAAATCTTTGACCTCCATTTTCACCAAGGAGGAACGGATTTTTCGAAAAGTGTGAAACACCCCTCAAATGAATTTGAACAAAGATCTTTGAAAATAAGTTTGAGGCCGATCGGATGGTAAACAAAAAAGTTACATACAAACGTTTTTCGCGATTTTTCCACACTTGCGGGTGGAATTTCCCGAAACCCCGTCCTAACGTGCACCTTTATCGCATAAGGTAGCTACAGTGAAAATTTCAGTTTCCTAGCTCTTACGGTTTGGGCTGTGCGTTGATCACCTATCAGTCAGTCAGTCAGTCCGTCGGTCAGGACAAACAGTTGTATATATAGAGATATCTTATAGCTAACCTTTGTTCCTCGTCAATGATGGGCGCCACAACAGCGCCGCGTGTGCCGTACTGGCTATAGTATGGTTCCTCATAGTTGCCACGTACGCTCCGTTCCGGAGAGCTGGTGTATCCGTCTGCAAGATCAACTCAGTTAAAAGTGGTTTATTTTTGCAGTATATAGAATAGAAAACTAAAAAATAAACACTATTCATACAAGAAAATAACAACAACAAAATATATATATATTTACGAATTAGTTCGATATATAAATCTTACTAATTTGTAAGTGTGTCACGCTCAATTTTGTGAACCCATAAAAAGCGTATCCAATGGAACTTAGATTATACATATATGAATGTACATGGAAAAAAGTGATTTGTTCTTATCGGTAAGTAAAGAAAAAAAGAGAGGTATATATTCGTGTACCTGGTATACTGTATAATTGATCCGAGGAATATGGAAACAGGGGTTCCATGCTACCCCTTCGATTAATCGATCTGAATGGTTTCACAGGCGTTCCTTTTTTATATTTTATATTTAATTATACATAATAGATTTACGCATGGGGTTTTTAAACAAAAGCATGTTCAACGTAATTGTATATATAAATATGTATGTATGCTATGCTATATTATTCATACATATTTATAAAGATAGAATATGAAAACAAACTCTTTTATTTACACCCAATATTTTTTTTATAACGTAAATTAACTTATTGAACATAACTTTTAAGAAAACACAAGAAACAACAATTAATCTTTAGTTATTATTCCAATATATATATATATATATATATATATATATATCCATATAGTATTCAGATTTGGTAAAGCTGATAAAACTTAAAAAAAAACAGACACACGGACTTAACTTTATCAAGATTTATATTCTGAACAAAGGGGAAGGTCCTTTAATGTTTAACACTTAAAACGGACTCGTTTATTTACAAATCTTTAATGCAATACACACACATACGCACACATATATATATATTTCAAAACTACGTATGTGTGCATGTACACAGTCCTTCGTGGTACTGAGATGAAACACAACCCATTGAATAAGCAAACCAAAGTAATACAAATCTATGTCCAAATAAAAAGATGTACTTAAAGTAGATGTAGTTAGGCTTAGACTAATAAATAAATTAGACGCACCCATCGAGACTTTGGCACGTTCCGAGGCGTACATGCCACGTGGCAGGGTCTGCGAGGAGCCAACATAATATGGAGCTGGTTGTTTGCCAATCTGAAATAACAATAATAGGAACATGAATAATACAGTCAACCAACTATAATTTATTAACAAATAAAGACTTACTGATGCGGATTATGAAACGAAGCCTTATGTTGGAATCTGAAATTCCTAACTATTTTCTATATTTTAAATGAGCCGAAGCTTAAAAACAAATCAGTCGCCCAAAAAGCCGCTGAGCCGAAACAAAACTATTTTAAAAGCTGGCTTGGCTAAGGCTTCTAAGGGCAATCAGCCGGAAGCCGGTTCAAACTGTAAGCCTAAGCCCCGAACCATGTATACAAATATATTAATGTATGTAGATAAATACTTAGTTTGCAACCAGAAGTGAAGTACAAGTTATTATTATTTTTCAGCCTTGACATTTTCATACGGGCAGCAATTGGCCTTCATTCGGATGGCAAAAAAAGGTTAATAAGTTTCACTTTAATTTCAATTCAACAATGTTTGGCTGGGAATTCCAGAGGGCTGGGCCAACAACCAACAAGACGAAAAAACATAATCGATGCACAAATGTTGTAACAAAAAACAACACACACCCAGTTAATCAAAGTCTTTGCCAATTATTGACGTGTTGTTTTGCTCGTTCAGCAGCTGATATTGCTTGATATATACTTTCTCTTGTCAGAGACCTTTATTTTCTATTCAAATCATAGGCGATTCGACTTATAAGAATAGGAAGCTGATAGAATGTCAGGGTATTCGATAACAGACCGAAGGATCCACAGATCGAAGGATCCACAGATCGAAGGATCCACAGATCGAAGGATCCACAGATCGAAGGATCCACAGATCGAAGGATCCACAAGCACAAACAAATACATTAGGCAACAAACAAATATATTTCTATCTTTCAGCTTAGATAAAAGCTTTCAGTTCAAGATTTATATATTTTATTAAATTAAGTATATATATATATATATTCCACATGATAAGCAAAACAGTTGAACCCCAATAAATGTAAATGGATCGAATTACTATATCTTTAGCTGCCTTACGATCGATCGGCTGAGAATTAAATCTGAATAAATTCTTGTTTAATAATTTTGATCGTTTTATGTGTTTGCCGAAAATATATAGTAAATATGCACCTGATCTGATTTAAATAGGCGAGTCGTCTGCACGTCTGATTCTTCGGAGGCTATCTTGGCGTATCTTGATAAAACTTAAAGTTCTATATCGTGTAACTATACTGGTAACTACTAACCAAGTATATTTTCACTATCCGTCAAATCAGCCCACAATATTAAATAGCTGCCATAAAAATGTTTTCTCTAAAACTAAGATTTAAATTATAACTTTAACAAACTCGGCATTCATGACTTTTAACATGGAATCTTGTCAATATCAGAACTTTGTTATATAGAGAATCTTTTATATGAAGAATCGGTAAAAATAATAAATCAGTAAGCCCAAATTTGACCTTTACGACCTTCCAATATATTAAGAATTCAAGAAGACAGATCTTTTGTATAAACGCGAGTTATCTAAGAGGAAATTTAGTTTTTTTAACCAAACTCGGCATTCATGACTTTTACCATGAAATCTTTTATGTGTGAAGAATCGGTAAAAAATAGAATTTTCTATAAATAGTTCTTCAATCATAAAGCCCAAATAAGAATTCTTCATAATATGACTTTTATAAGAACAATCATTGGAAGCTCATAAAAGCGAGGTATCGGCGAGAAACAACTGTTCTGTTTAGGTCAATTTTCTTAGCTGTCGCATTTAATATTTGTCAATCGGATGTTGACTGATTTATTAATGATGAAAGGAAACCGCTAGAGTTATTATAACACAAGCCGAGTGGAGACAGTTGGCTTATAATAATTCGCATTCAACTGGCTGTGAGGGGCAGGTGGGCAGGTTGGTAGGTGGGCAGGTGGGCAGCTGTATCAGTGTTTTAACTAAGCTTGAGAGTACATACTTACATAAATGTGAGCACACACACACATACATAGGAGTGGTTCATTCGTTGCATTCAGACAAAAAGCTCGGCAACCAGTTTCAATTTCAATACAATTTTACAATTTGTTACAACTGGCCCGAGAGACGTACTCGCACAATCGTCGGGGTTGTGCTACGGGCTCTCGGTTTTTGAGTTGTTTATTTTTTTATTTGTATTTTTCTTCTTCTTTGCGGCTCCGGTCGACACAGCTTTGGCGCATGCGTAGACGGCCGTCAGTAAAGTGCGAGACAGCGCCGCAGACGGACGTAGAAACGGTATAAGTTGAATTCCAAAAAAGTACCAAAGGTATTCCCCCGGTTAATAGTATGGTTAGGCTACACAATCGAGCAATTTGGCCAACAGGCTGTGGAGCGGGACTTGTGCTCATCACGTTGCTCGGTGCGCGCATTTCGTTCGCTTGGAAGCCGATTGCCTCCGGCAGCCCCATAACATCGTACAGCCTAAAGCAATCGCATCCAGGTGAGGCCAGCAGCAGCCACGAGCTGGCCACCAGCTATGCCCAATTTGGTGGCGATCAAAAGGAGGAGGACGCTATCGTGAATGGCGTGGAAACAGGCATCACGCACCCGATCACATTTGCCGACGATCACGAAAATCATTACGAGTCGTATAGCTTAAAGGACGACGTGGTTGTTGATGAACCTTCTCTCAGCTTTCCGCGCACTCCACTCTACGTCTCCGACGATCGCTGCAGTGTCAAGAAATTCGCATTCAATCAGGACGGCGCGGTGGAGTACAACAACGAGTTGCCCGAGCTGGATCAGTTCACGTTATGTTTCTGGATGCGTTTTACCAATCACAGCGGCGACCATGTCATGTTGACCTACCAAGGTGAGTGTGTTGGGCGGCTTAAGGTAGGTTCATCTCGGGGATTATTAATTTGAATACAAAAAAGAAGGGCCGGGCCGGCTCGTTGAAGATACTTTCTTTAATCAACACACACAATCACAACACGACGACCTTTTTTATATAAGCGTAAGTTAATTGTTTCGAGTCAACTTAAGAGAGACCTTCGCTTTGTGCGAGACCTGTGACCAACATAATTTCGAACCTGGCCCCAAAAAAAAAAGTGAAAGGGATCCAACTTCCTGATGCCAAGCGCAGCGAATAGACAGTGAATGTTTTTGATCTCATGCCAGCAGACAATTTGTGATCATGTTGATGTTTTTGTCCGATTTGATTTTGACAGATAAAATGCGTGACAGCAGGGCTTAACACACATTTTTTGATGGTCAACACAGACAAAGACACAGACACAGAGACAGACAAAGATACAGGTCATTTATTTGATTATAGCAAGTATCTTGGAGATGATTTGACTACTCTTTGACTTTTATCTTCCAACTATTTTCAACTTCCCCACAACGACGACGACATCGTTGCTTGAGAGACAGACCACATTACATAAGCGCTAAATTTACCTGTTTGCCTGTTAAGCGGCTGCTGCTGCTACCGCCTGCTTTTGTTATTTCAACTGTTTGAGATTATTTTAAATATGCAATTTGAGCTGCGTGCAAAAGCTTCCGGAACCTGGACGGAGATGCCGTCTTGACCCGAGACAACAACACCTTCCACTACTAAACCTGCAGCCAAAAACATTTACTTGCAACTAAACTGGTCGACGATAGTCTACTCTGCCTCTTAGATATTACATATGCATCTATTATGTTAACAGGATTTCTCTATATTTTCCGCGAGTGTCAAAAGATAGATACATGTGTCATCAATAGGTTAAAGATTTAAATCTGATCAACTGACTGACAGAAGCTTTCTTAAGGATCGAAAGTGCGCTAAAACTAAAACGGGCTTTGGAAAATTTAAACTCCAAGTGTGAGAAATAGTTGCCACAGTTTGTAGAACATCAAAAATGCAGCTCAGGTGTGCCATAAAATTTACAATTGTTTTTCTTTTTCGTTTCATTTTTCCAACTTCAATTATTTTTTTGCACACTGCGTACGAAGTTTGGGAATCGTAGACAGAAGTCGAAATATTTTGTTAAATACTTTTTGGGAAATATTTTCCTTTGTTCTTTATAGTTGGTGCGAATTATCCAAACAATTTGGGCACCATTTGTATATTTAACAATATTTATGGTTAATTTCTTCTAGTAGATAATAAAAGATAAGTAAATTTTATACAAATAATCAAAATATCTGAGACTATATGAACTAGAGTTCAGATATCAAGTATCTTACACTTTTTTGATATCAGTTAATTAGTTTGGAGTTGAATTATTTTTCTTTATAAATATGTTACTTTTGGTCCTGAATCTGCCTTTAGTTGGCGCGAACTATACAAACAATTTCGGTACCTTAACATTGATAATATAAACATCTCAAACTATATGAACTAGACGTTATATACGAAAATTTAGATTCTCATGCACCATTCAGATATCAAGTATCTTTCACTTTTTTGATATCACTTAATTAGTTGGGAGAATCGTTTGCCCCGTTAAGACAAAAACATGAACATATTTATGTAACTTTTGGTTCTGCATCTACAAACAGTTTTTGGTACCTTAACATTGCTAATATAAAAATCTCAAACTTTATGAACTAGATTTAGATTCTCATTCATTCATTCAGATATCAAGTGTCTTTCACTTTTTGGATATCACTTAATTAGCTGAGCGAGCTCGTAGTTGCAACACAGCGCAGCAGCATCACGCAATTTGCTCTGATTTCATAACCAAGCCAATTAACTCTGTCTCTCACTTCTACAGTGGAAAAGGAAGCACGCGAAATACAAATCTGGGTCGCGAATGCGCAAAATTCCAGTTTCCTATCGATGGCCATAAAAGGTCAGCAAATGTACAGGTACGTTTCATTGCAATCATTCAAAAAGTAACATATAGGTTTATAATATTGGCTCTGTTCTCTGTTTTTTTCTGTGGGGTTCACCTGATTTTGGTGCAGATTGAATTACCCGCTGCGTATGCGGCAATGGCATCACATGTGCAGCTCGTGGAATGGAAAGACCGGCGAGTGGCAAGTCTGGCTAAAGGCAGAACGTATCGGGCGTGGCTTCCACAATTCGGTGAGTAACAAGTCTAGTCTCAAATTACGCGTTTTAAATCGAGCAGCGGAAACAACATTAACCAAGCCGCTAAACGACAACAACAACTGCCTACAGACGGCGACACAAATTGCGGCAATTGGTTAACAGCCATATTTGAATTATGCCATTTGCTGAGATATTAAATATCACTTTTCTCACAATGTGCACCGTGCCCATATATATATATATATATATATATATATATACAGTATCACAAAGCTGTCTGCTTATGGCCAATCAAAACTGATGTTCTTCGCACCTTGTTCGGCGCGTATTTAATGCATCTTTATGAATTGCGGAAAATTATTCGAGGAAAACAGTTAATCGCGAGTTTGGTTAAGATATTTTGAAAAACAAAAAAGTTTGCCATACAACAACTTAATTTTCGACCGATCGTTCCTATGGAAACTATATGACATAGTGGTCCGATGTAAATAAGATTTTGCATTAATAAAGGGAACATAGTAAAACTAATAAATGCCGAGTTTAGTTAAGATATATAGATAAAGAAAAAAGTTTTTCATACAACAACTTAATTTTCGACCGATCGCTCCTATGGAAGCTATATGATATAGTAGTCTGATGTTAATAGAATTTTGCATATACATATATGAAGAGTATAGTAAAACTAATAAATGCCGAGTTTGGTTAAGATACATAGATAAAGAAAAAAGTTTTTCATACAAGAATCTACTTTTCGACCGATCGTTCCAATGGCAGCTATACGACCTAGTGGTCCGATGCTAATAGGATTTTGCAAAAATAGGGGGAACATAGTAAAACTAATAAATGCCGAGTTCGGTCAAGATATCTAGATAAACAAAAAAGTTTTTCATGCAAGAACTTAATTTTCGACCGATCGCTCCTATGGAAGCTATATGATATAGTGGTCCGATGTTAATAGGATTTTGCATATATATGAGGAGTATAGTAAAACTAATAAATGCCGAGTTTGGTTAAGATATATAAATAAAGAAAAAAGTTTTTCATACAAGAATCTACTTTTCGACCGATTGTTCCTATGGCAGCTTTATGATATTGTGGTTCGATGTTAATAGGATTTTGCATATATATGAAGAGTATAGTAAAACTAATAAATGCCGAGTTTGGTTAAGATACATAGATAAAGAAAAAAGTTTTTCATACAAGAATCTACTTTTCGACCGATGGTTCCTATGGCAGCTTTATGATATTGTGGTCCGATGTAGACAAGATTTGGCATAATGGTAGGGAGCATAGTGAAATATCGAAATGCAGAGTTTGGTCAAAATAGCTTGATAAACAACAAAATTGTTCATACAACAATCTACTTTTTGACCGATGGTTCCTATGGCAGCTATATGATATAGTGGTACAATCCAGTCGGTTCCGACATATGTAATGTGTGGAACAGTAAGAGGCTTTTCTGCAAAGTTGCATGACGATAGACTCGGCTGTTGATACTGATCAAGAATATATACACTTTATTTGGCTCCTCCTATGCGTTACACATCTCACGACCAAATTATAATACCCTCTGCAAGGGTATAAAAATGTTTGCATTATTTTGGTCAAGTTGCAGTTTAGGTGCATTAGAAAGCCTACAACTGTTGCATGTTGCATGAATCCCAATTCAGTTATGTTTATTATTTTATAATCGATCAAACATTTTACAGCTAGTAGGCCATAAAATACCGGCAAAAGGAATACTGCGATCAGGCGGCAGCTCCGTTACCGGTGAAGTGAGTCACGGTCTGCACTTTGAGGTAACAATGGTACAAATTTATCGCGTAGCATTGAGCGCGGGCAAGGCACATCGGGATCACAAGCACCACCATGTGCACCATGTCGACCACGATGGTCAGGAGGTGTCCAGCACACCGCGTGTGCCGCCAATGGTCAGTATTTAACGGTTATGCTCCCTTATCGGACGACAACTAATAACTTGATGACTCAACACAGATAAATCGACCTCAGCCGATGCACTCGCTGCTCGCCAGCGGCCAAATCCCCACCAGAGTGCGCATCAATCTGGCCGGTTCAGGGCCAACGCAGAAACCGAACGGCGCCAACGCTGCTGAATTCCAGCCTCAACAACAAGCAATAACCGTCAACACGAATTTCGTCAACGGTCAGATTAATGCTGGTTCTCGATTGGTGGCCCAGCAGCTACTTGGTATTTCGCCCATATCCCAAAGCCGACCCGCAAGTGAGGCGGGACGGTTCCAGATGCTCAGCAACTCGGCCAATGTGCAGTTCATAGATGAGACAGAGACGCATATACAGTTCAAACGAGACGCGGCGACTCCAACGAACGACAAGAAGCTGCGGAAACGAGGCCTCGTCTTACTGGACGATGGTTCTGTTGTGGATGATGGCCTTGGCAGCAGCAGCAGCAGCAGCAGCGACGAGTTTAGCAAATACAACGGTCTTGCCGACTTTGGAGGTCAGCAGTTCAAGCAGGATTTGACTTTGAAAATGACTCTTGAGGAGGAAATCAGTTCACACGACCGCGAACCTGCCGAAGAGGAAGTCAAGGCAGTCATGGGCATCTGCAGCAACTGCGACCCGGAGCCATTTCAGGGTGCGATTGTGTTTGCCTGGAAGAACGTGGAGGAGCACATGAATAACACGCTCAAGGGTCTCAGTGTGGGCACCTGCGGCAACTTCTAGCTGCCTCTACCACCAGTCAGCAAAAAATAAATACATTTAAGCAGCAAGGAGCAGGGGGCAAGGAGCAGGGCGGTGCATATAACGCTTATTGTACATAATTACATATGTTATTTTGTTTGTTTTTTTTTTGTACAGTAAATAAGTATCCACGTATGTACGTATATTAAACATATGCATGTACATACATACGTTTTAAAGCTGGGCAACCGACTTTTTCCTCACCTCTATGTATATATGCACATATTTATATAAATATATATATCACGGTGGGTATCCACGGTCTTGAAATAGTTGTTTATAAAACCAACGAACCTTTGGCAAATAAAACTAACTACAATCTTTCTCTTATATTTAATTCGGGGATACTAGCCCAATAATCAAAAATGGTTTCCGTTTCGAACCTGCTTTCCCTATCAATAAGTCCTTGCCTACTCACATATATATTCAAATTTAAAATAATAATTACTTTTTCCACTAAAAGCCCAAGAATAAGGTTTGGTTCGTATGGTTCACATAAAATGGAGCTCCGGATTCGAGCTGGTTTGGTTAAAAAATCGGCCTTAATTTGTAAAGCGTCTTACCTTGGACTTGTGGATGTGCTGGTGCTTGAAGTCCGAATCGAATTCTGGCTCACTGAAGTAGCTCTGATCCTGATCCCAGCTAGATGGTGCTTGGGGTAGTGGCTGTGGTATGCCGGGACCACCTGGCAAAATCTGAGGCGGAGCGGCTACCTCTGTGGACTCGAAGAGACGCAGCACCGAACGATCGCGTATTTCGCGCAGATGAGAGCGCACATCTTCCAATTCATAAAACATATCCTTGCTGGCATCATGAATGTAGATCTTAACGTTCGGTCCTTCCAAATACGACATGGTCAACTGACGGGGAAACGAGCGCACAAACAGCGCACGCACCGTGTCGATCGAGGTGATTTCATTTGGGAGCAGTGCTCGCTTTGTTTCGGATCGATACTGTAAAAATACTAGGCCCAGCGGTCGCTCCAGTGTCTTGGAGGGTGTGCGCACCACTGGCAAAGATGAGCGCTGTTTACCGCCGCGCCGAAAGCCAGTGCTAGCCGTTTCCACCTCGGACATAATGCCGGGGTCATCGTCGAACAATGGACCCTGATTAACGGGTGCATAGCCGCGCATTGGCTGATTCTTCTTGTTCTTTTGCGCTCGTGTACTCATCTGTAAAAATAGGTACGAAAAGTGTTGCAATTGGATTTCGTCTGGATTGTTGTGGTTGCTTGCTTACTTCCAGGTCCATGGCACGTTGCTGCTGTGGCATTTGATGTGCGTGAGGATGTTGAGAGCTGCCATAGACTAAAATGTCGCCACCAAGTGTGTGGCGCCGTGGATCGTCGCGGCGCATTGCGCGTCTGCGCTCGTCGCCTCCTTTAAATGAATACGGAAAAACCAGATAAATCGAATAATGGTGCTGCTGCCGATGTATTCATGTTTGGGTTATTATTTACCTTGGTCGTTAGTCGGCAAGCGGCCCGGTTTGTTCTCATTTTGCCAGTCTTCTTCTGAAAATGTAGCCAAAAATGCGTTAATAATACGGCAAGATAATAAACAATCGAGCGCACTCGTTATCGATAGATGATAGTTGATATCGATTATTGCAATGCCTGCAAGTTCCAAGGTATGTACATATTTTGCCAGACCCGGTTTATTTTAAATGGCATGTATTTACATATGTATATGTATGAATACATATATGTATGAACTTACATGTATATATGTATGAGCATATGCATTTGTATGTGCAATTATTTTGCTTGCCTCTCTTTTATTTTACCGTATTAGCTATTCTTTGCAATTACCTCCTTCTCGTCCTTTGCGTTTCTTTTTCGACGATGAGCTGCTGTTCGCACTGCCACTTTGATTTGTTGATGCACTTTTATCTTTGCTCTTCCAACGGATCAACATTTTGCCGCTTTACTAGTTATTTGTTTAAAAGTTAATTATATTTGGCTTTTAAATTATTACGCGCAAGATTTGTGCACTGTAAGAAGAAACCAAAAAAAGTTAAAATACTTATTATTCACATACATTTTTGCAAGTGAAAAATAAAATATATGGATACATACATACATATGTGTAAAAATACAATTCGAATCGTTAATATGTATGTAAATATTTAAGTATAAAGCGAGTTGAATAAATATATGTATGTGTGTGTGTGTGTATATGTAAGTATTGATCTATTAAAATTGCACTGCAATTATGTACGCACATACACATGCATTGGTGTATACATGTATGTATGCATGTCAAAAACTTCGATGAGTCTGGATAAAGCGGCTTCATTTTAACTTTGTTTACATTTTGTACCGGCACGAATATTCACAAACATATGTAAATGTGTATGTGCGTATGGATTTAAATACGTATGTGAATTTGTGTTATAATTTTATATCTGCTTGCATGAACATATACACATCCTATCGAACATAACCATATACATATTTTACACTACTTATAAATGCAAAAGCACTTGTGAGCAAACATGTGTAAGTATTTAGTGTACATATGTATGTATGTATTGAGTGTACGTGGGTGTGGTGGAAAATGCCAAGCATCAATAACCGCCGAATAAGTACGAATACTTTATGCTCCTTTCGGGGCCTGCATACATACATACACACATATGTTCATATGTATGCACAAACATACGTACATGCAAGCTTCAAAGTGAATGTTTCGAAAATTTTGTTTGAATATCAAAATATCTTATTGTAGTGGCATTTCAAAGGACATTGCAGCTGTATTTACATATGAATATGCATACATACGTCTGAATCGAGGGTATAAAGATATATGTATGTATGTATGTAGGCACATATATGTATATGACAGTATGACAGTATTTACCATCTAAAAATTGTTTAATGCGGACTGCATTATGTAGATACGCATCTAATTATGTTTAACAATTATAATTCTTATGAAATGCTTTATTCAGCCGAATAAGGACAAGGAAATTGGAGTACAAGTACATACGTACATATGTACTGTTGTAAATGAAAAATATGTTGTACCAGTAGCATGGCCGGGCCTCTTTGCTGCTTAACGTCAAATTTATACACTTTGTCAGTTAGATCTCGAGATTTAATGATGTTTTTGACTCATCTCGCGCTAATCGCAGCCGTCGTCGCAATTGACCGCGTTTAAAACCCGTTCGATACGTTTTAACACTCAACAGCAAAATTATTTCTGGTATATCAGAATACGTTTCCGCCCTAAACGCGGTACGCGGGATAATTTTAATGGCGCATGCGTTGGCCAATTGCGCCGGTGTGGCCAATTTGCAAAAAGAATTTCAAAGCGCAGACAAATGAAATAATAATAAATAAATTCGCATTAAAATGTACAATTTCACAGATTAAATAAATATGAACTTAATGCAACAGTCTGTCTTTCATTTGCTTAAAAAAAGCATTATATATATATAAAAAAAAACAAATATAATACATGCATACATATTTTATTATATATATATACAATTAATGTTCAAATTTTTCAAATCAGTCTCTAATTTTTTCCTTCCCTGTTGTTGTACGAATTCGATATATATTTCTTACATTTTCGGCTGTAAGGAATATATACAACTCCTGAATATTAATTTGCAAAATATTGTTTCATCCCAAAATAAGAAAACAGGCTGTAAAAATAAGAACCACATCATATGGTCTCCGCACATAAACATACATTAATTGATTCTATTAAATAATTTATATATTAATAAAGATAGAATATGCCTCATAGATTTTTACTTTAGTATATGGCTTAAACAATCCAATTTGTAGTTACAGGGTATGACTTTATAAGGTAAATATTAAATTTATGTTATTTTCTATCAGGCCAAAAAAAAAAATCAGCTTTAAATATGTTTTATCCTCGTTTAGTTTACATGCATGAAATGCGGCTACTATAGAGTTTACAGCGAAAAATATAGCGCCCAACAAATTTATTATTTACAAATCAGCATAACATAAGTTTAGGTTTGAGTAATCTCTATGTTGGTCATATTAAAAATAGTTACTCGCTTACATCAACCAGTTACTCGCTTACATCAACCAGTTACTCGCTTACATCAAACAGTTACTCGCTTACATCAGCCAGTTACTCGCTTACATCAACCAGTTACTCGCTTACATCAACCAGTTACTCGCTTACATCAACTAGTTACGCGCTTACATCAACAAGTTACTCGCTTACATCCAACCAGTTACTCGCTTACATCAGCCAGTTACTCGCTTACATCAACCAGTTAGTCGCTTACATCAACCAGTTACGCGCTTACATCAAACAGTTACTCGCTTACATCAGCCAGTTACTCGCTTACATCAGCCAGTTACTCGCTTACATCAGCCAGTTACTCGCTTACATCAACCAGTTACTCGCTTACATCAACCAGTTACTCGCTTACATCAACTAGTTACGCGCTTACATCAACAAGTTACTCGCTTACATCAACCAGTTACTCGCTTACATCAAACAGTTACTCGCTTACATCAACCAGTTACTCGCTTACATCAACCAGTTACGCGCTTACATCAACCAGTTACCCGCTTACATCAACCAGTTACTCGCTTACATCAACCAGTTACTCGCTTACATCAACCAGTTACTCGCTTACATCAACCAGTTACTCGCTTACATCAACCAGTTACGCGCTTACATCAACCAGTTACTCGCTTACATCAAACAGTTACTCGCTTACATCAGCCAGTTACTCGCTTACATCAGCCAGTTACTCGCTTACATCAACCAGTTACGCGCTTACATCAACCAGTTACTCGCTTACATCAAACAGTTACTCGCTTACATCAGCCAGTTACTCGCTTACATCAGCCAGTTACTCGCTTACATCAACCAGGAAAATTGCATATTAATATCATTTTATGGTATTCTCATAGAGAGGATAAGAACATCGAGAGCCGGGGTTACGTTCTATTTAAGAATGTAGACAAGTTGGACAATGACAATTGATATATTTAATATGTACATAAAACTGTCCAAACGAATACAAATTGTACAGATAACAGTTGTATAGTTTTCGTATACAAATATAAATCTACTTTTGTCTATAATTATATTACATAAATATTGTGTATCCCGTTCGCATAAATATATTATTCCATTATTGTTTATAATTTTACTGTTTTTTGTAAGCTTTGCAGACTTTTCCTGCCCGATTTTGTACGTTCAAAAAGGCTTAAAGTATGAGAGAGATGCAAGATGGGAGATGGCAGACACAAGCGAGTATGAAAGAGAAACACAATCTGCACCATGCTCGGAACTGCTGAAACTGCAAAGAATCGGGAACTACAATTCTATGTAAATATGTTATATATATTTGCACTAGAGGCTAGTTAGAGAAAAAATTCTGGACCGCTACATTTGTTTTGTATCTCGGGGGGGATGATGCAAGTGTTCGGGTCGGGGAATGATTTAGTGGCGTTCCAAGAACTTTTAACCTAGTTTGCGACGCCTTGTCGACTGTGGCCCTGTCAAAGTCGGCGGCGCTACGACCGGCAGAGCTACGGGTGAGCCATGGCCGGGATACTGTAGATGCTGCACCACAGACAATTGTGGCTGTTGCTGTTTCAGTAGCTTGGCGGCAGCGTGTGCCTCGGCCGCTACCACGGGATGTGGCACATCTGTGCTCTTGCAATAGCCGCCGCTGCCAGCATTTCCGCCATCACACTCGTCGTCGTCTGAGATCAGTGATATGCTTAGGTCGCTGGATAGCTTCAGCGAAATGGGCGCCGGTGGCGACGGTGCCACCATGGGCGCTACCTTGGCACGCATCGCCGGCGACAGCTTTTGCAGCTGTTCCGGCAGCAGATCATGTGCGTATTCGGGCACACCACTGGAGGCGAGTCCTTCACGCAGCTTACTTAGCGACAGCTCGTAGATGCGATTTGCGATCACCGTATGTACGGTGGTTTCATCCGGTAGTGTGGCCGTCACATCGCTGCCCACATCCACATTTAGGTAACCATCGAAGTGGTTTGTGGCCGTGTTGCTGGGTGTGCTGCTGCAACTGTTTGGCTGGCTAAACGATGCGTCTCGTGGCTGGCGGCGTCTCTGGCGCGCCTGACAGTTGGCAGTAGTTGAAGTTCGGGGCACCAGCGACACGGTCACCTCTTCCATGTTATCGGAAAATGTGAGCGGCGCCAATGGTGGCGGCGAGCGCATCAATTGACGCCTGCTGTAGTTCAGCATGCCGTTCTCTTCGTCACTGGTGAGCACAATGCTGTCGGTAAACGTGGTGGTGACATCTGCATAACGTTTTCGTGGACGAAATAATTTGCCATCATCGCCTCCCCGACCTCTGCTGGCAGCTGGCATCAGCAACATGGTAGAGCTGTGCGCCGGCGCCAACTCAACCGGCACTAGGCTTATGTTCGGCATCGTCGATATTTGCAAGCTGCCGGGCGTAGGCCTAGATGGTGGCAGATGGTGTCCATTGGCTACTGACAAATCGGGCGCTTTGTGGTCATCGTCATCATCATCATCCGACAGTAGATCAATTGTGATGTCCGCGGGCAGCGCAGCAGCCACGTGACGCCGCGATAACATCATTAGATGGCAACGTTTTCCTCCGCTACGTTCAGTCTTGGTGGCGGGCGCCATGTAGAGCTGTTGCCGTTCCCGCAGGCGTTCCATCCATTTGCTCAAGCGGCGCTTAAGGCGCTTATTGTCAAACAAATTGGATGAGATGTAGAATGGTTCGGAATGTTTGGTATTCATTGCTGTAAAATGCGAAAGCAAATCTATCAGAGCTTACTTCGGAATCGGTTTATTTTGACAGTTTTACTTACAGCTGCTGATTCGATTGTGATTTTGATTTTAAAAAAACTTCCAAGCGCCGCTTGGCATCGCCGATTTGTGGAGTCTCTGCGCAACCACCAGGAGGCCTACCACCAAGTACAGTTAGTTGTTGCCGCAGTTGCAACTTGCATAATTGCGTTAGATCCACAAAAGTTTTTGCTCGAAATGTTGCCAATTGTTAGTAAATTTACTTTTTTCTAATAACCATTTTTTGTATTCGTATTTAGCGCAAATATAAAATTTTGTTTTTGTCGCAGTTTATCGCTTTCAGTTTGTGTTGCCTTTTGTTTTTGTTGTAGTGTTTTTTTTCGTGCTGTTTATTTTTGCGTAGGGATGTAAGAAAGTGCATCGATGGCAATGTTATCGATATGTCGGACACTGCAACACTGCGCTTGGGTGTACAAATGTGACCTCGCTAAATGATTGTTGTCCCTGCTAATCAGCTGCTGTACCTAAACGGCGCGTGAATTCAAAATGTTGATATTTGAAATTTTCCCAGACATATTTAAAAATAATAATTTGTAGTTTAGTAATGGCGTAGTCAAAATGCTTTAAGCATATGCTGATAAAGTATTATCTCTGCCAGAAATATTTAAGTGCTTGCATACATACAGTATTAGAATTAAGTTAGTGGTAAATTTTAATAAAAATTGTCAAGTCCGTCTTTTCTACCATTGCCCCTAATCGGAGGCTCGGCTAGGTACTGATTTGTCAGTTCTGTTGCAAGACGAACGCCGCTGAAAGTCGACCTTCGGGTCAGATTTGAGTTGGGACGACAATTGACAAAGGAAACCTACCGACACGACAGCCAGTACGAACGAAACTTAATAATAAAAAAAACGTTAAGTAAAAATTGGCGCCACCCACAAATTTTGAGCTGCTTACACAATTGAGCGCATGCGCCATGGCTTTGAGTGGTATTTCGAGAGCTTTCACTCAAAACAGCAAAGAGCTTTCAGCATGTTTGTGTTCCGACAACTATTCAGATACGGCCAGTCGGCGTTTAGCCGTGTACGTTGTTGTGCCTCTGAGGCTTCTGTTGCTTTCAATTTATTTTACAAATTGGGGAAAGGCCATACGTTTAGTTGCTTAAATTGTGGGGTATTTTACAAAAACTTCTTGGTTGTTTGCCAAATTATCAGCTACACATTTTCTTTATTTATTAAATTCATTATTTAATGTGTAATTGATTGATCGATTTAACGACCTAATTTGAATGAAGTTATTTAATGTTTTTATAATATCATTATGCATTTACATATAAGTGGGATTTTGGGAATGTAATTGAATGAATGAATGAAGTAGGTACATTTACAGCTAGAACAAATTTGGGCACTTTCCAAC